CAAGATCTATGTTTTCCTCTTACCAAGTGATTCACAACTTGTATACATGAGAACAAACTTAGAAGCAGCTATTGTATCCTGGGATAACTCCTACTCCAAATGAATCTGTAAGCTTAGTGAAAAACAATAACCTCAAATAAATTAACAAATTAAAAAGCACTAAATCATGGGCTGGGAATGTGGCTTAGTGGTAGAGTTCTTGCCTTACATGCAAGGGCTTCATAGCCCTGGGTTCAATTCCTCAGTACCATATAAACAGAAAGGGCCAGAAGTGGCTCTGTAGCTCAGGTGATAAGAGTGCTAGCCTTGAGCAAAAGAAGCTTAAGGACAGTCCTCAGGCCTTGAGTTCAAGCCCCAGGCCTGGCAAAAAAAAAAAAAAAGCAGCACTGAAGCAAAATAATAGAATAGTAAATTGAAAACCAGAATGTCATCATTTTCACCTTTGAAATTGGTATATAAAAGCAAATTGTAATCAGCCTATACCTATATTACTTGATCTAACACTTATCTCAAGAACTTTAAATGTATCTGCTAAGTAAAATGAACCTGTTAAATTTATAGTTTATTAAGATCATAAAATCTAAATTCTCTTAGTCAAACAGCCTAGTTCCAAGGCACCATAACAAAATCAAACATGAAAGTCAAGGCACCATTCTTCATGTGATTGGTTTTGAAGACTACTTTGACTAGGTACAAAAAACTGGTGCACTATAGCTGCAGACACAACCAAAATATAAATCACATATTTTGAAAAGAATGGTACAGCGTTATCATATAGCTTTTACTAGTACAGTACAAAGTTATGAGAAGAAGACCACAGACTTTAGGTAAGAACCAGGTTACAAAAAACTACATATGCCAGGCTAAGGACTATGACTTTTACCTCCCAAGTACCAGAAACCTCTTAATACATTATGACATAGGTTTGAATTTTAGGTAAGCCATCCATTCTGGTAGCCTCTAAGAGAAGGGGCTGGATAACGAACAAAGCCTAAGAGGCTCTTGAAAGAATTCAGAGGACAAAGTATGTAAGACTTAGCCAAACATAAGAAGCAGAAGTATACAGGGGATTTTTTTTTTAAGTAAACTGTAAGTAATGGGAAATAGCATCCTTTAGTAAAGAAGGGAAGGGAATGGAGGGAGGAAGAAGGGACGGGAGGGGAGGGGAGGGGAGGGAACAAGGAAGGACTGAAATAAGAGTAAATTTGGGAGCCGGGCACCAGTGGCTCATGCCAGTAATCCTACTCAAGAGGCTACGATCTGAGGATCACAGTTCAAATCCAACCAGGGCAGGAAAGTCCATGAGACTCTTATCTCCAATAAACCACTAGAAAAGCAGAAGTAGCGCTGTAGAGTGCTAGCAGTAGAGTGCTAGCCCTGAGCTGAAGAGCACAAGGACAGCACCCAAGCCCAAAGTTCAAGACCCACAACCAACAAAAAATAAAAATTAAAAAAAAAAAGAAGAAAGCATAGATCCAAGGAGGCTAATAAATGCAGGGATGCTTGAAGCTGTAAGCACGTATAATGTTTTTCAATGGAATGTACATAGGATATACAGCAATAGGAAAAAAAATTCTAGGAGAAAAACAAAGGATCATGAAAAAAAATCACTAAGGATACTAATACAGTTGGCATAGACACACGTCTGTAATTCTAGCACTTGGGAGAAGGAGGCAAGAGATCACAAGTTGCAGGCTGGACTGAGCTAAAAGCCAGACACTATCTCACAAATGACTGACTGAATGAATGAATGAATGAATGAATGACTCAAATTAATAAACTAGCTTTCCCTTAATGAACTAGGGGAAAAGCAAACTAAAACAACATAAGCAGAAAATGACAAAATAAAATTATGAGTTGGTTCTTTGAAGAAGATAAAATGGTCAAACCTTCACCTAAGTAACCAAGAAAAAATGAAAGAATGCCCAAAGTACTACATTACTCTTACTATTATTCTTACCAAAATAGAAAAGGATTATAAGACAATATTATGAGTAACTATATGCCAGTTAATTGGGTGATGCAGAAGAACTTGGGAAACTGATAAACATAAAAATACCAAAACTGACACAAGCCAGGTGGCACACTCCTGTAATCCCAGCCCCAGAAGGCTGAGATCAGAGGATCACCCTTTAAAATCAGCCTGGTCATAAAAGCCCATGAGACTCTTATCTCCAATTAACCACCAAAAAGCCAGAAGTAGAGCTGTGACTCAAGTGACAGAGCACCAACCTTGAGCAAGAATGCTCAGGGACAACACCCAGCTCGAGGTAAGCCCCAATACCATATGAAAAAAGAAAACCTAACACAAAAAGAAAAAAGGAACACTGAACAGACCTAAAACAAAGAGGTCAAGAATTATCAAATTTCCTCAACCCATTAGAGGACACCAATGAAAAACTCACAGATAACATTACACTTAACACTGAAAAATTATATTGTTTCTTTTGTAACTTTCTCTCACCAATTCTACTTAGCATTATGCTGAGCTGGGAGAGGGAGAACCAAGCAATTATTGCTTAAGGGGTATAGTATTTCAATACTGTAAGAGGAAAAGAGATGGGCTGGAGACTGCATGGAGAATGTTGTACAAATCTTGAACATTATTGAACATAAAAATTAAGATCAAGGGGCTGGAAGGTGGCTGAGCGGTAGAGCACTTGCCTTGCATGCATGAGGCCCTGGGTTCGATTCCTCAGCACCACATAAGCAAAAGAGAAAAAAGCCGGAAATGGCGCTGTGGCTCAAGTGGTAGAGCGCTAGCCTTGAGCTGAAGAGCTGAGGGACAGCGCCCAGGCCCAGAGTTCAGGCCCCAGGACCGGACCCAAAAAAAAAAAAAAAATTAAGATCAATGGGCACTCAACTGCAGTCAGATAGCAGCAAGAAGTTTTAGTGTTCTATTGTACAATAAGTATTGCGGATGAAGATAATAGGCATATCAAAAACCTAGAAAAGACTTTGAAAGTTTCACCATAAAGAAATGATTATGTTTGAGGGGGCTGGGTATGTTTGGAGAGATTTGAACATTTCACAGTATGTACATGTACCAAACATCATGTTAATTTATTAATAATTAAATTTTTATGTATCAGCTAAAAATTTGTTATGTGCATTTACCACATTTAGAAAAAGGAAAAAAGGAACAGCTAATATTTGCAAAATAAAAAAAAGGAGAAAGCCTTACTGAGTAAAAATCTTTCATTTATTTAATTTGCTTTGTCTTTGCATTCTATAATTTGCATCGTGTAATTTTTGCATTATATAATTTTTCTCTATACTATGAGGACTGAGAAAACACAAGCAATTGATTACATTATTGGGAAATTATCTCGAAAACAATTTTCTAAACCCCCAAAATTGAAAAAGTTGTTTATGATATTAATCTATTTACCTATAGAGTACCTATAGAGTACTGTAAGTTACGAGAAAACAAGTATAAATTTATACAAACAGAAAAGGTTATGTTTCTTCAGTCTTTTTACTTCTCTATCAAATGGTAGAATGGTAACATGTTTAGTTCACCCTCAAGAATGCTTTCAATCCCTTTCTCTAAAGATACCTCATGTTCAGGAGCTCCATGTTATCTAGAGTATTTATTATCTAAGCCTCTGCAGATACAGGGAAGCAAGAAAAGCAAAACTTGTAAGTAGGACTGTAGGACTGGGAGTATATAGCCCAATGGACCTCCTCTACCATACTCAAAGCTTAGGCTCAATCCCCAGCACCACAGGAAAAAATTATAAATATACTCATTAATAAAATGGTCACTTATGAGTTTCCCAATTTGACCATTCCTACTGTCTGTATCTGTACCTACTCATTTATGTCACTGGTCTCTTGTTTCCTATCTATTGTAAACATCTGATAATAATCTGAGTACAATGCAAACTGTCTACAAATTAAGAAAGCTACATTAGCAAAATAAGCAAAGTTTTATAAAGAAAATATAATAGTCGGCCACCGGTGACTCATGCCTGCAATCCTAGCTACTCAGGAGGCTGAGGATCATGGTTCAAAGCCAGCCCCTGCAGGAAAGTCCCTGAGACTCTTATCTCCAATAAACCACCAGAAATCGGGAAGTGGTGCTGTGGCTCAAGTGGCAGAGCGCTGGCCTTTAAAGAGCGCAGGGAGAGCACCTAGGCCCAGAGTTCAAGCCCCCCCCCCCCAAAGAAAGAAAAGGAAGGGAGGGAGGGAGGGAGGAGGAGGGAAGGAGGGAGGGAGGGAGGGAGGGAGGGAGGGAGGGAGGGAGGGAGGGAGGGAGGAAGGAAGGAAGGAAGGAAGGAAGGAAGGGAAGGAAGGGATGCAAAAGCTATTTGGAATCACATAGTATGTCAATCAGATGAAATAGAAAATCAAGAAAAATGCCACTAGATTGGAAGGTCTTTGGGTAAAACTGAAAACATTCTCAATATATTTTTTACAGAATGATCTTCTTTATAATTTACACTGTAAAAGTGAGAACTGATGCATTTTTGCCTTGGGTGCTCATTCAGATTCCAATCCAGAAGAAAATACAATCTACGATAAGACCTGGTCCAATCTAGATGCAATTTTAACGTTTATTTTCCATTTATTCAATATATAAAGTACACAGAGAAAAATAAAAGTACTCAAATGAAAATTCTAGAATAAAATTTGCATGCCAAGTTGTAGTTAGAAGCAGCAAACTACAGCTATAAGTACTAATTACTAACTGCGAAAAACCTACCAAGGGAATGAGACAAACGATTTACAAAAGTAAAAAGACTTTCAGAAACTTAGGGCAACCATTATCATTCTGCCTCACAAGAGACAATAAAAGTCCTATTGATTAACTATATGGACCTATCACCCTCCAGTAGGCAGTACACAGAGCTTTCATCAATATGCTGAACACGAGACTCACTGCAGCACTGGATTCCATCTAATCAATAGGACATGGGAGCTTTCAATCAGGATTCTATATAAAAGACAACCTTTTTGATAAATGAACCACAAGAGAAGATTCTAATAAAACTTACCATTGTGTATTGCATTCAGCAACTCTGAGAAAGCTTTTAAGTAAGGAAAAAAGGACTTCAGTTAAGATCATTCACAAACACAGAAGAAAAACATAGGCACATACTATTAGTAAGTCTAAGTAAGTCTACCATGTATTATTTTTTGAATTATTAAAACTGAAAGCATTCATTTTTATAGTATAAATTTCTAATAATCCTATTTTACTTGCTAATAAGCAAAGTGAAATGTGTTAGATATATTATCATGACAATAATTTCAATAAAATATATTTTAAAATTACTTTTGAAACGACACTTAGTACTCTATCTCGTGTTGCTAAAAGAAAATAAGCACATCTTCATAGACTACAATTCTAGACAGGTAAAGCTACCTTAGTTTAAAAACAAGTTCACTAAACCTAACTCAATTAAACATTTTTACTTCTTAGACTTCCACATAAACCTCAGCACATGAAGAGGCTACTAAAAGGCTACTAATGCCAATACACAAATGCTGAAAATTTATATTAACATTCAGACTAAAGAAAACTAAAATACCATAAATACTATTTATCAAGGGGCAGAGTTTCCAATTCAACAATGGAAGCTCTATATTAAAATCTAACAATGGAAGCCCTTTATTAAATCTAACAATTAAAATTTGCCCCACAATTTCATTGTTACTGCAGATCCTAAACACAAGAAAAAGCAATATAAGATTTCTTTGTAGAAGAAAGAAATTTACTTAATTAGAAACTGAGTGCATTTTAGAAAATAATTTTTAGAAGTTCAAAGGTGGCATAATATACTAGAAAAAAAGCATTTATGTTAAGATTCAAAAAGCTCAGTTAACAACCCAGTTAGAAAACTTACTAGTTGTTGGACAAGCTCCATCATGCCGATACTGCATGGAAATTTCTGTTGGGAGGGAGAGAAAGGAAATCAGCAAAGAAATTGTCAATGGCTACAGATTAGAACAGGAAATAAGCCAGAAAAAAAAAAGGAGGGGAGGGAGGGCAGGAGGGATTCAAATATAAGTTGTTGTGTAGGCCAAACAGAAATGCAGAAACAAAAAAATCAGAAGGTAGTAATCAGGACATGAAAGGTAGGAAAGCCAAACAATGGAATTCTCACCAATCTTAAGGGATGGTGTGAGAATGTAGATGTGTATGCTCTTCTAAGAGGAAAAGATATAAGAGCTCAAGGCAAACAGCCTGTCAAAAATTTTGGAATATAGCATTTAGAAATTATAAGACCAGAGAGGGCTGGGAAGGTGGCTCAGTGGTAGAGTGCTTGCCTTGCATGCATGAGGTCCTGGGTTCGATTCTTCAACACCACATAAACAGGGGGAAAAAAGCCGGAGGTGGCACTGTGGCTCAAGTGGTAGAGCCTAGCCTTGAGGTAGAGAGCTGAGGGACAGTGCCCAGGCCCAGAGTTCAGGCCCCATGACCAGCAAAAAAAAAAAAAAAAGATTTCTAAAAAAAAGAATGGAGAGGCATAGGTGGCTCACACCTGAAATCCTAGCTATTCAAGAGGTGGATCATGTTCAAAGACAGCTCAAGCAGAAAAGTCCCCATGAGTCTCCAACTGACCACTCAAAAACCAGAAAGTGGCACTGTGGCTCAAGTGATAGAGCACTAGCCTGGAGCACAAAAAGACTCAGGGACCGTGCCCAGGCCCTGAGTTCAAGCCCCACAACTGACCAAAAATAAATAAACCAAATTATAAGAATCATATGCCCCATGCCAGTGGCTCACAACTATAATCCTAGCTATTCAGGAGGCAGAGAGCTGAGGATCACAGTTCAAAACCAGCCCAGACAGGAAAGTCTGTGAGGTTTTTATCTCTAATTAACCACCAGAAAAACCAGAAGTAGTAAGCACTAGCCTTGAGCAGAAAAGCTCAGGAACAGTGCCCAGACCCTGAGTTCAAACCCTACAACCAAAAAAAAAAAAGTAACTTTTGGTTTATGACCAGAAATCCATTATAACACAGAACTGTGTTAAACTATACTCTGCTCATGTTTAGGTACCTTGTATTTCTGAGACAAATAATGAACAAATGAAATGGCTTGTTTTATTCCACCCAATAAATACTAAAGTAAAAGCTGCCAGAATATAAGATATTCATATGGCACTCCAACAAAAAAGTGCCTTAAAAAAAATAGAGCCAAGTACCAGTGGCTCACATCTGGAATCCTAGCTACTCTGGAGGCTGAGATCTGAGCATCATAATTTGAAAATAGCCAGTGCAGGAAAGTTTGTGAGACTCTTATCTCCAACTATCAAAATGCTGGAATAGAACTGTGGCTCAAGAGCACAAAAAGCTCAGTACCAGCACCGAAGCCTGGAGTTCAAAGGAAAAAAAGAAAAAAGACCATGTAAGTCTTAAATATCAGTTTGGGAAGACCAAGGCAAAAACTGAGCCATCATCTAAAAACTAACTAGCTTGCCTAACAAATGCAAGTCTGAGTATTCAAACTCCCAGTCAGGAAAAGAAGATCTTCTTGAAGTGATTATTTTTAACAACTGTCTTATGAATTTGGTCACAATCAAAGGAGTACTTCTCCATAATCTCCTTTTGTAGCACTGATCATAATTAAAGAATTTCAACACTGACACTTGCCTGAAAAGCACGAGTTCCAACCCAGTACCACCAAACCAAAGAATAAGTTACTTTAGTAAATCATAAAATCTTTTTTTTTTTTGGGGGGGGGGGGGGGGAAGGGGGTCCAGTCGTGGGGCCTGAACTGTGGGCCTGGGCACTGGCCCTCAGCTCTTCAGCTCCAGGTTAGTGCTCTACCACTTGAGACACAGAGCCACAGCGCCACTTCCAGCTTTTTTCTTTTTTCCTATGTGGTGCTGAGGAATGGAACCCAGGGCCTCAGGCATGAAAGGCAAGCGCTCTACCACTGACCCACCTTCCCAGCCCTAAATCATAAAATCTTTATAACATAGAAAAGGATAGGTTCAACATGTCAATTTTTCCAAATGCTATTAAATACTAATTTTCATTGTTTCAAAACTCTAGGTAACTGTTCAAATCCCTAAAGATTATTGTATAGGAGGGAATTCAATCAAAAGCTTAATATAAAATTGAGTGTGGTGGCCCACACCTGTAATCCCAGTACTCAGAAGCCTAAGGCAGGAGGATTATGAGTTCCAGGGAAGCCTCAGGTGCATAATCTATTAACCAGTAATTTACAACGTGTAGCAATCACTTAAAACAAAACACTTCCTTTTATACAAGTCCCCATAAAACAATGAATGGGCCACTTAACAGAATATGTAACCAAATCAAATAAAGTATTTTACAATCCAAGCCTCTGTAAACCCATTCTCTGATCACTGACATTTACTGTAATGTGATCTAGAGACATTATAATAGATTATAATTATCTATAATTATCTATAATCTATAATAGATTATAATTATCTATATCTAAGTGTAAGTGTATACACTTGACTATATTAAAGTATTTTAAAACCCTCTTTCAATTTTTGGAAAAGGGTCCTGCTATGTAAACCCTGAATCCAAACTCAGGATCCTCCTATCTCTGCCTTCCAACTGCTGAAAATTCAATGCTTTTAACTATAGCAACTTCAAGAGAGTAGTATTAGGATCTGATTTGACTTTAACTCCTAGTTGTGACAAACAACAGTATCTGTCCTACCTAGATGAAATAATATCTGTACTATTCCCAACTTTCAAACACAGGTATCACCAATACCACAGGCTAAATGAGGTAATATTTTGTTCTTTTCCACTAAAGGAATTCTACAATGATGTAAACTACCAGAATTAAGTCCAAGACATATATCCTAGGAGAAAACCCATTAGCCTATTAAGTCTTACTTCTTCAGCCTGGCATTCAAGTCTCTATGAACTCATCCTACCCTATTCGATAAATATACACTGACTGAGATACTTTGCATTTATAATCTGATTCTAAAATTGTACAACTACTTAAAATATATATTTAAAAATAAGCCAGGCGGTAGTGGCTCACAACTGCAATCCTAGCTACTCAGGAGGCTGTGATCTGAGGATCATGGTTTATAATCAGTCCCAGCATGAAAGGCCATGAGACATTATCTCCAATTAACCATCAAAAAAGCTAGAAATGGAGCTGTAGCTCATGTGGTACATTACTAGCTTTGAGCAAAGAAGCTCAGGTACAGCACCCAGACCCTGAGTTTAAGACCCAGAACTGGAACGCACACATGTATGCTCTCACATGCTCATACTCGCTCGCTCGCTCTCTCTCTCTCTCTCTCTCTCTCTCACACACACACACACACACACACACACACACACACACACACACAATCAGAGAGAGGATACTGACATCTATGGGATAGGCACTTAGTGCTTAGTAATTATATTAATATTATTAATATTATATAATAATAATATATAATATATAATAATAATATTAATCCATTTAATTATGACCAAACCACTGTGATAGCAGTGAGAATATGGTGATGAACATTTCAGACATACTCCTTCACAATAACATCATGCCAACATGTGCTTACAAAGATCACCTTCACCATGACTAAATATTCACTGTCATTATAGCAAATTAATCTTTTCAGTGCTTCATGCAAAACAATCCATGGCAATGTAGTAAATACTATACATTTTCTACCTCCTACTTCTTTATATGAAGGGAAGTTTTCTGCTTCTAGCTAGTGAATTATTTCTCAATTTAAAATTTCCCCAAAGGAAAAATTAAATTTTCATATCTGAAGAATATATATTCTTTACAGTTGAAGTATTGGTTCAAATGTTCTCATAGATCTCCTCACTTAAAATATGACCGAGAAACTCATGGGGTTTGAGAACCTAATCAGTGAGCATCTGCTGAATTTTCTAACTACTCACAAATCAGGGAAAATGCACACCTCTACCACTCAGTCTAGTTTCTTTTCTTTTTTTTTGGAGGTGGGGGGTGGTCCGGTCGTGGGGCCTGAACTCTGGGCCTGGGCACTGTCCCTCAGTTCTTCAGCTCACGGCTAGCGCTCTACCATTTGAGCCACAGCGCCACTTCTGGCTTTTTTTTTTTTTTTTTTTTTGCTTATGTGGTGCTGAGGAATCGAACCCAGGGCCTCATGCATGAAAGGCTACCACTGAGCCACCTTCCCAGCCCCTCTAGTTTCTTATTCTACATAGTGAATAATAACATTTAGTGTTTCTTAAGTATTTAGCACTATGCTACTCAGTGTTCATCAATAGGTCCTAAGTCCTAACCTTACTATCATGAAGGAGGCATAATTCCCAAAGATAAATAGCATTTAGCCAAGCTTCTTCTACATAAATATAGATCTTTTACTATAAAGTTTATTATTTTTAAAAAATAGTCTGACTTAATCATAAAACTTTTATTAAAATGTATAAAATTAAAGCTTATGTCAATTTTAAGTAAGCAAAATTCTCTTAGTTTTAATAAAATATAATAATAATTCTCAGACAACTTTAAAAAATTCTTGGCAAGTTAAATTTTTCAGACACTAAGTTTTGTGAAATAGTATCATCTATAGGAATCCCCTTAATTAATGGATAATAGTAAAATAAAAAATAATAAAATACACATTTTTCTGCCACAAATGTATCATAAATGCAGTCTCCTGGAGGTAAGTACTATTTCTCAATGCTAACAATCTTCTTACTCATGTAACATAGAGAAAAGCCTTTTCAGGGACAGGAGCCAATAAATATTTTAATTCCTTTAATTTGAAGATATGTGTTTCAAATAAGCATTGAAATGTAACTTTTGAAATTCATGTTAACTTAAGATTATGACTGGAAACTACAGGAATCATCAAAAGCAAGTGTTAGGCTTAATTTTCTCAGTAAGATTATCTGATTATCACACCTCTTACTAAAAATAGCATGAACCTACTCTTTCCTGGGTAAACTGGTTTACACTTACTTTTTTTTAAAAAAATCATAGCTAAGGCTAATTCCTAAGATTTCTAGTCTCAAAGGAAACATATAGATAAAAATGTCTATTCAAATATGCATGGTATTTAAATCTGTTTAATGAACTTCTTTCTCACTGTAGTTTATTTCTCTCCCTTTTCAAACAGTGGTTCTCAATCAGAGGCAATTTCTAGTGCCCTGTGGGTGTTTAACAATGTTTAGAAATATTCTTTTGTTTATGTAGGGAAGGTGCTATTAGCATATATGAGTGAGGGTTATAGATTCTGGTGAACATCCTATAACATTACAAAGACAGCATTACACAAAGAGTTATCCAATCAAAAAATCAATGTCGGTATTAAGAATCTTGTTCTTGAACCATCCTTAATGCTACCAAAGAAACACTTCTTTTATGGTTTCCACTCTATTATGGAAAAAAGTCTGACAAATAGGTCCATGACAGTCACCAAAGCTTCCTATCAAACGCAGAATAAATTCCCTGGCTGTATCTTTTTCTCTTCTTTTTGAGGGAGGCAGAGTGCCATTCCTGGGGCTTGAAGGGCCTGGGTTGACTTCCCTACATGTTTGTGCTCAAGGCTAGTGTTCTACTACCCAGTTCCACATCCAGATCTTTTGGTGGTTAATTGGAGACAAGAGTCTCATGGATTTTCCTGCCCACCCTGGCCTTGAACCACATGCTCATTACTCAGCCTCCTGAGAAGCTAGGATTACAGGCATGAGCCATCATCTCCCATTGGCTGTACAATCTTAAGAAACACATTTAGCCGGGCGCTGGTGGCTCACGCCTGTAATTCTAGCTGCTCAGGAGGCTGAGATCTGAGGATCACGGTTCAAAGCCAGCCCGGGCAGGAGAGACCGTGAGACTCCTTTCTCCAATAAACCACCAGAAAACCGGAAGTGGCGCTGTAGCTCAAGTGGTAGAGCGCTCGCCTTGAGCTGAAGAGCTGAGGGACAGTGCCCAGGCCCAGAGTTCAAGCCCCATGGCCAACAAAAAAAAAAAAAAAAGAAAGAAACACATTTACTTCTCAAAGCCACAAAATCGGGACATTAAATGTTCTTTACATTAACTGTGGTTTTGTTTTTATTTTGGTAATACTGGGGACTGAACTCAGGAGCTCCCGCTTGCTAGGCAGGCACTAGCCACTCCTCCAACCCCTTTTCACATGGGTTTTGAAGGATAAGATCTTATTTTATGCCCAGGCAACCATGGACTATGATCCTGCTTATGCTTTCCCATATTGCTGCAGATGGCAGGTGCACCTTACTGTATCCATTGTACGTCCCCATAGCAGGGATAACAGGCATATGCCACAGCACCTGGCCACAGACAAATACGTAATCTCTTGAATTCTCACATCTGTGGTGGACTGAAATGATTCCTGTTGCCTAAGCAGCAAGGCTTGAGCTACTGTACCCAACTAAATGTTAAATGAGGCAAGAAGTACTTAACAGAACCTAACACATAAGAACAGTTATAGTCACTACTTCTCACATCTGATCTTCATATATATATATATATATATATATATATAAATTTTAAAACCAGAAGTGAAATTTACAATCAATATTTATTAAATCAATTTTATATCTAAGACATAATTTAATAGATAAATGCTGATGCTCAAATCAATTGTATATCTGTCTAAAATATGCACTCTCATTAATTTTTTAATTGACAATATTCATACCGCAACTTGCAGGCTATACAGAAAAATCCCAATGATGTGAATAATAACATATATAAAGTCATTTGTACTATATACTAATGACAAAATCATTAAATATAAAGCATTTTTGTTAGCTCCTGAAATAGAATTTTATAAATTTAAGTCATTTACACTTACTGAAAAAAATGTGCCAGAAAGAACTATATGTAGGAAATTACTTCAAAAAGTGAAAACTAAAGCTGAAAGTCAGGGAAACGGAACTTTAAAAAAAAAAGGAAGAAAGAATAAAGAAAAGCACTAAACCCAAAACAATGACTTTTATATCTTAAATGTGAATCCTAATTGGTGTTAAACACACAGTGCAGGTGATACAAAATGTAAGATCGAGATCAAGGTGTATCATAAGCAATGGATGACCAATGAACTATTTAGTATAAATATAGTTAACATCAGACTAGCGCCCAAACATTTCAACACCAAATTGTCTAATAATACTACATTTTTTCCATGAAGAGATTTTTTTTTAATTAAGAAATGTTATGTTAAGTACCACTAAGTATTATCATTAACAACTGCTTAAACCTTTTCAGGGTAAAGCAAGGACATATTGGTGGGAGTGAAGAACAACAATGGGCAAATCCCTACCTGAACCAACTGGAGATGAGCCAACACTAAGACTCTGTAAACTTCCATTCCTGAGCAATGTAGGAGATTTCTGAAGACTAGAGCTTGTTATGCTTCCTGCAGCTGATGCTACAGATGATGTTGGTGAAGCAGAAGAAACTGAGAGATGAGAAACATTCTCTTGAGTTTTGTTCCCTTTGGGTCTGCCAGGCCCATGCTTACTTTGTTTATTTCCTTTTCTTTTCTTTTCCTTTACAGTTTCTTCTTGTATGCCAGAAGTTTGAGCTCGCTTATATCCTGCTGTAGGAAGGCTGGAGCTACCCAAATCTGCAGGTGAATTTTCAAAGCTTTTAGGCTGGGAAATAACAGCTGAGGTCACAGGATGACCAATTAAGGAACTAAAACTATTTACCCCCCCTTCCTGGCTTCCAGACTCTCCTTTATGTACATCTTTGGTTGATGACGACTGTTGGGAGTGAGTGTAACTGTCATTACGCAGATCTGAGTCTGTAAAGCTCAAGAAATCCTGGGGAGACTGTACTGAGCTTCCAGAGGATGATTTTACACTGCCTGGAGTTCCTGAAAAACTGCCTGTAGTAAAAAACAAAAATGGGATAGGAAAAGAAAAAAGTTTGGATGCAAAAGTGCCATGAGCAGTAGACATGATACAATCATCAAAAATAGGTAGGTTGGGGAAAGAAAAAGAAAAGGTCAACTATAAAATTTAGGACACAAAACAGTATCACAAAGCTGGATTGCAAAAGGTTACTAATGAAAACAAGTTTATCTCTAAAATCACCTTTTAAAACACTCATTTTATAGTACTTGTTTACTCTTGAATTACAAGCTATTCTTTATAAAATTAAGATATAAAATGCACTTTATTTAACATACCTTTTATCACAGTATTCCTCAGTTCTTACCCAAAACATTGTGTGTTCTAGTCTGAAGAATAGCAAAGCCCCCTTTTCAATAGACATGCAGTAACACCTGACAAAACTTTAATTCTCCAAGGAATCTTCTTTTTCAAATACTGAATGTGTTCCCAATATACAGTAAGAATCACAACCTCTTTCCTGGTTTAAGACAGACCAGCAATTGCTATTATTCTGCTCAATTTATCCAAACATGGATATAATTAAATATCCCATCTCATGTCTAAGTTATTATACTCTCCAAGTCCAGTTTCCACAGATCTGCATAAAGAAAACTAGCCCTAACATTCTCTTACTGTTTTTGTAAAAGACGGCACATGAATGAGGCAGCTTTCATACATCTTTTGCACAACTGTTTATTCTTTCTCTCCTCACTTCTATGAGCATGATTATTTGGTGTAAGAACCTTCCAGCTCCATTTACCTGGTCAAAAATTAACATGGCCTGGGAAGAAAGAAACCAAGTCTGATCCTCCATCTCATCTTTATGAACCCACCTCGTGTTTGCCAAATGATGCAGACAAATGTGGTGACCAAATAGTATGTTCATAAAAGTAAACTATACATATTTTATCCAAAGTGCCAGTAAACAAAAGCTCAAAATTAAAATATTTCATTGGCTGGGAAGGTGGCTGGCTCAGTGGTAGAGCGCTTGCCTTGCATGCCTGAGGCCCTGGGTTCGATTTCTCAGCACCACATAAGCAAAAAAGAAAAAAGCTGGAGGTGGGGCTGTGGCTCAAGTGGTAGAGCGCTAGCCTTGAGCTGAAGAGCTGAGGGACAGTGCCCAGGCCCAGAGTTCAGGCCCACGACCGGACCCAAAATATAAATAAATAAAATATTTCATCAAAATAGAAATTTTGTTGTGTTAAATTTGTTGCACTGAATAGTCACAAGAAATCTCATAAATTCACCTCAGCATTTACAAAGATTCTTTTCTTTTCTTTTCTTTTCTTTTTGGGGGGGTGGGGGGTGGAGTTCTGTCTTTGGATTTGAACTTAAGAGACTAGGGCACTGTTCTTTTACTCAAGCTAGCGCCCTATCTACCACTTGAGCCACAGCTCCACTTTCAGCTTTTTTTTTTTTTTTTTGGGGGGGGGGGTGTTGTACATAATGTATTGGAGAAAAGACTTTCATGGACTTGCCTGCCCAGGCTGACTTTAACTGAATAACTAGGATTACAGGCATGAGCTACTAACACCCAGCTGCAGAGATTCTTTTTTTGTCACAAGAAATGTCTTTTAAAATGAAGTATTAAGGTCTGGACTTTTTAATGTCTATATTAATAGTTCTAAAACAAGGGTTTCAAAAGTATAATTGTCATACTAATTTATAAAAGTTGTTTCCACTACATGGGAATCTTCAGGACTATGTCTAAACAGAAAACGGTACATATTAAGAAGCCATCTACATTACATTAAAATAAGGATACTACCTGGTGGATGACAGGGAACTGGGTTTAGCTGGCGCCATCTTGTCCTCATGATAGAGGAGGGTGAAGTCCCACCCCCAGGTGATGGGCATGCCTGAACTCCTAGAGGCAGGGGAGGGGACTTGGACAATAGGTTACTGGGCCTGCCAATGAACTTGTGAGAATTTTTGGATTGTTTTTCAGATTTCTTTGCTTTACTACCCTCATGGCTCAGTTTCCTAATAGTGTTAAGTGCTTTCAAGGCTACAATGTTTTCTTGGGTGGTGTGTCTGCCTGCTGTCGCTGGTTTTCTAATGAAAACTCCTGATTCAACCTCTCAAAATGTGGCTTCTCTGTTTCTCACAACTGAATTCCAGTCTAACATCATCAATCATTATAAGGAAAATTACAATTTGCTATGTCATTAGCAGCTACAGAAAAGTTCTTATCCATTCTAATTTGTCACCATCTGTCTTTATAGTTTTTGCTTTTATATCTAGTATTAAAATTTCACATAATTTGTCAAATGGCTCAAAATATTTAGTATCTGCGATACTTTAAATGTGTATTTTTAAAATTTCACATACTGCCTCCCATTGGAAAAAATGCAACCAACTTCGTTCAGTACCTTATCTTTCTATTTCAACCTTTAAATTAAAAACTTAGAAATTAGTGTTAATAGTGAAGATCTTCCTTGTGGAAACAGTGACTGAATTCTAATACCACATTCCAAATGTGAATGAAGTCACATTTAAATAGCAATGTAGAACTGGGGTGTGACTCAAGTGGGACTAGTAAACTCAGCTTCTACCCCCAGTACCCAAAAAACGAGGGGGAGGGGAAATAATACCTGTAAATTTTAGTGAAATCAAGTAGTATATTTGTTATTTCATTTTCTAATTATTTGTGCTATAAACAGTGCACACACATGCACACACCACAAGACTGCTTCTTGAAAATCTTCCAGCCCCAAATGACTACCTGCTAGATTCTGGATGTGTTTATTATTAGCCGATGTTTCAACAGCAAAAAGAAGAGACAATTATCTTATATTCTTATATCCCCCAGGGAACAAAGAGTAAAAAAGAATGTATGGCATTTCTTCTACATATATTATATATGTTTGTGTGTGTGTGTGTGCATGCACGCACACATGCATATATGTAACCATCCTGGGCTTGAACTCAGGGCCTGGGTCCTATCATTGAGCTTTTTGATCAAGGCTAGCATTCTACCACTTGAGTCACAGCTCCACTTCCAGCTTTTGGTAGTTAATTGGAGATCACAGTCTCATGGACTTTTCTGGCAAGGCTGGCTTTGAACAGCAATCCTCAGATCTCAGCCTCCTGAGTAACCAGGATTACAGGCATGACCAACTGGTGCCTGGCTATTTACTAGTATATTTTCCTTCAACAGTTTTAACAGTTCTGTTTTTCAAAGTACTTATGTTCATGTTAAAATTATACAAAACAATCACACACACTGTAAAAGTAAGCTGAATTACTTGGTTTCCCATAAAACAGGGTTTGCTATAGAAAACATAGCATAAACATTTAATTCCCAATTTCAGCTAAACAGTATATGGAACATAGTAATAAAATAACTGTAAATATTAAAGAAGTAATTACTTATTTAATGAGTAATAAAATATTACTAAAATTCAATTTTAACTACGCATCTGCTAAATACATCAGCTTCACAGAAGATAGGTTGAACAAAATTCTACTCTGAATCCTACTTTGTAATAAATGCATTACTTGAAACCTACTTAGATCCCTGAAAATTTTTTAGTTGTTATTCACCTACTCAAGATGTAAATCTTAACTATTTTAATGTTAAATTAAGAAAGGCAGGTTGAAAACAACTTACAGCCACGTACCTGTGGCTCAAACCTATAATCCTAGCTACTTAGGAGGACTTCAGTTCAAAGCCAGCACAGGCAGGAAAGTTCATGAGACTCTTATCTCCAACAAACTAACTACTCAGGAAAAAGCTGGAATGGCACTGTGGCTTAAGTGGATGAGCGCTAGCCTTGAGCAAAAGAAGCTCAGAAACAGTGCCCAGGCCCAGAGTTCAAACCCCAGGACCAGAAAAAAAAGAAAACAACTTATAGAACCAGCACAAGTGGTTCATACTTGTAATTCTTGCTTCCAGGGAGGCTCAGACTTGGAGGATGTGAGACTTTCCAATTAACCAGCAAATTGCCAAACATGGATCAAATAGTAGAGCACCAATCATGAGCAAGCAAGACAGGCAAGTGAATTTTCAATTCAATCTAGCATTTAAGTCTATGTATACTGAATGACTTCTGTAGAGTAAAAGGAAGTGCTCTACCTTTCATAGCTTTTCTCCACAACTATTTAAGCATTAAACAGAAATTTTTACATTCTTACACAACTCATGACAGAGAAAAGTAAGAAAATCTTAACAAAACATCAAATTAGATATGCTAAAATGATCATTAGTTATAAATAAAAACTAAATTCTGTTAAAGAGTATAATCGCTGTGAACCATCATCAGAACAAGTACTATAACTAAACACCATAATTTATACCTTGTGGAAAGGGGCTAGTTGCTGACACAGTTGTTCCTGGATTTCTTCCACCAGCAGGCTTCCTTCCTCGTTGACCTGAGCTGTGAGCTGAAGATTTCTTGCCTTTGCCCTCAGATCCTCTAACTTCTGAAACATCTTTTCCACTAGAAGTATGTGCAGACACTTCCTGGAAATTCGCATTTGTAAATCTTGCCGTCGTATCTTCCAAGCGCTTCAATGATCCAGATATAGAGTTGTTGCTAGTGCTTGTGTAAGTCTGACATTTTGATTCAAAAACAGGGAAGAAAAAGAAAAAAAATAACTGATTACATTTGGATAGAGAAAACAATAAATGACACATAGATGATGATGATGATGATGATGATGATGATGATGATGATGATGATGATGATGATGGGTACTAAACTTGTAAAAGAAATATGAAAGTTTCAGTTCTAGAACAGAGACCATCTACGTAAGAAAAAAATCATGCAAAAACAAGTCTATACCTTTTTTAATGATTCTGGAGAAACCAAACAACACAGACTTTTCTCTTACAATGAGCTACTTACTATCTCTATGCCTACTACTATTTTTAAAGAAAGTTTATCTTGAAGCCGGGCACTGGTGGCTCACACCTGTAATCCTAGCTATTCAGGAGGCTGAGATCTGAGGATCATGGTTCAAAGCCAGCCCAGGCAAGAAAGTCCGTGAGACTCTTATCTCCAATTAATCACCAGAAAACCGGAAGTGGTGCTGTGGCACCCTGAGCTGAAGAAGGGCAGAGCCCAGGCCCAGAGTTCAAGCCCCACGACTGACAAAAAAAAAAAGAAAGAAAGAAAGTATAACTTCATAGGATAGTTATTTGAGGGTTAGACTGCAGAAATTAAAATAGCACATATTAGTCACATTTACTAAGTAACTCAAACACCAAAAGTGCTCGTTTTTCTTTTTTAGTGGTACTAGGGCTTGAATTCACTGCCGCTTGCTTGTTCTAACACTTGACCCACATCTTGTCCTTTTCCCTTTTAGGTCCTTTTCAGACCTCATTGTTTCAGATCTCATTGTTTCTGCCTTTGTACTTCTAGACAGCAGTCCTCCTACTCCCTCCCTCCCAATGTAGGTGCATGCTACTCTAGCCAGCATATATATTGTGATGGGGTCTTGCTAATAACATTCTGCCCATGCTGGCCTCCAACTTCAGTCCTCCATATCTCTATCTAAGCTAAAAAAAGACATCCTACAAAGTAAAAGATCTTTGCCATCTGACACGTCTAATTACCAGGATGTATAAGGAGTTAAAAAAAAAAATAAGGCCCTAAATAATCAAGAACCCAGTTAATAATTAAGCAAAGGAGACAGTTGTTCCTGTTGTATTTCTTAGAAGAAATATAAATAGCCAATAAATGCATGAAGAAATACTCAATCTCAGGCAAATCAAAACAACACTGAGATTCTATATCACTCCAATCAGAATGATCATCATCACCACCGCAGACCATTTTTGCTCCAGGAACAAGAAGAATCCAGTGACACAAAAGCAACACATTCTTGGGGGCGGGGGAGGAGAATGTAATAAAAAAGGAGAATCTACAAGAGGTTCTTGGGAACCCTAGAAATTACAGAGAAGCCACCAAAGCAGAAGAAAAGAAACAAGAAATCTGGAACCAGAGTTCAGCTCCCTTGGCTAAGAGCAGGGAACTAAGAAGATAACAAGGAACACTAAGTAAAATCAAAAGGGATCACCAAGTTCAGCTGTAAGGAAAGCAGACACAATCTGCAACCTTACTATAGCCTATGGACTCCAGCAGTGAAGACTAACCTGTGAGAGATTGAACTAAGATATTCATTCAGTGTCTCCTGTTATCTCAAACAGTGACAGGGTGTCACAATCTTGAAAGTTTCTTTCTGGGAGTCCAGGGTCCAGAAGCAATTACAAGTTTAACAACCCATGTGACATTTTACCATAGAATATAGGTATAAATCTCTTATAAGACACTGGGAAAGAAAGGAAAACCAGGTAGCAGAGAACAGCAAAATTTTAAGCTGCACTATCATGAAATAGAGGTTTCAGAGTACATAGTAGGCCAGAAAGCTGATGCACCTGGTCCTGGGTTATGAGTCCCACCACAGAAATTGCTTCAATACCCAATTCCTCTGGATAGAAATTGCGCAGTATGGAATGTGACACTAAGCTATCATGGCTCAAAAAAGCTCAACCTTGTCTTTGAGGCAATGTGCTACACTTGACAGTGGACGTCCCGATGAGCCAAATATTAGAAGCACCAAGCATCAGTTTAACTCTGAAGACTTTCCCCCATGTAAGGTCTTCCTTCAGAAGGAAGCAAAATCTTCCTATCTAGGTATAAAACAGCCACTTGTAGCCTGTAGAAGTCTATATATAACCACATATAAGTCTATACATAACAGACAAGAAAAAACAAAATTCGCATTTGTTACATGGAAGTCTACTTTGTTCCTTTATTGGCTCAAGTATTTTGAACATTATATTTGTTTGTATAGTTTTTTTCCCTTCTATTTCAAATAAAGACCTTTTAGTTTATACACTAACATAAATCTATCATCCCTTCCTATTTAATCTTATATTTTGCTTCTCCCACTTAGTTTTATCTGGGATTATACCTGAACCCATTACCTGTCTTTTAGTATTCTCTTTTGAATCAGTTTCATCCCTTTCTCCCATAGGCCCTCACCATTTATAACCTCTTATATCTATAAATGTAACTCTCCCCTTATACCCTGTTGCCCCACCTCCTAAATCTTCCACAGTATTCAAATTCATACATATGTAACTAGATAACCTGGACATCATTTGTTTCATTTTATGATTTTTCATGTTCTGCTTTCTGGGTTTTGTTTTGTTTGTATTTTTACTTTCTCTTTTCTTAAATTTTTTTCTCTTTTTCCCACCTTGATTGTTGGTATTAGTTGTTTTTTAAATTTCTTTTTTTTGTCGGTTGTGGGGCTTCAACTCTGGGCTCAGATGCTATCCCTCAGCTCTTCAGCTCAAGGCAAGCACTCTATTACTTGAGCCATAATGCCACTTCTGGCCTTTTCTGGTGGTTAAATGGAGATAAGAATCTCAGGGACTTTCCTGCCCAGGCTGGCTTTGAACTGTGATCCTCAGAGCTTAGCCTTGTGAGTAGATAGGATTATAGGCATGAGCCACCAGTGCCCAGCTTTAAATTTCTATGTATGGAAATAATTCTCATCTCCTTGTCACCACCACCACTCCCCAGCCCAACATAGCATTAACTAATTTCTTTTACTTCACTCCACCCACCTTTCCCATTAACTTTTTAAGAACTCAGAAACCCATTCCATATAAGCAAATACCTAGTAATATCCCAATGGAACTATCCCCTCAATCAAGAAAAATCTTCCTAGAACACAAAGATACACTTTGGGTCCTATAGTCACCTAAACAGATCAAAGCTGTAGTAATGATTTGTCTTCATTAGAACTTAACAAAAACACAAGAATATAGGTTGTCACTTATAATACCCTTTGAAAGCAAGCTTCCTCGCCCTGAGTAGAGAATAGTTTCATACAGTGTCTCTAGCACTGAATTCAACTATTTGTCATCCAAAACACACTCCCCCAACTCATAAACAATCATCCATCCAACTATTACCTCGATTCAACAAAGGTGCAAGAAACTGTCAACTCAGTATACAGATGGAAACCTCCATAAATCTTGAACCCAGATGTGCAAATCTTAGCAAATGATCGTGATATTGATGAATCAACAAGGCAATATATGGCCTTCAAAAGCCATTAATACTACAATAAAGGACTTAAGTGAGAGTCAAGAGAAAGGAAGTTGAAATGATGAGCTCAATGAAACAAATAGAATTGTTAATAAAATTGTTAAGAAACAAGTTGGACCCCAGGTCAGGTCTGAAATTCTCACTACTTAGGAGTCTGAAGTCTGAAAAAATTTAAAGCCAACCAAGCAGACAAAATTCAAGAGATTTTTATCTCCAATTGAGCAGCAAAAAGACAGAAGTAAAGATCTGGCTCATGTGGTAAAGTGCAAGCCAGGAATGAAAAATAATAATAGTAAATAAATGGGAATGTGTGATGCCCAGAGTTTAAGCAGTGGTACATCAAATCAAATAAGCAGATCTGTAAAACACTGGACACATTCCAATATAATATGAACAACGAAAAGTACCAAAAAAAGAAAAAAACAGCTGAATGAAATTTTAAAAGAGAATGCAGGATATAAGAGGAATTTAATAAAGATACAGAAATGTTGAAAAGAAAAAAATAAATAATCATGGAACTAAAGAGCTCAGTTGCCAAAGTCAAAAACTCAATCAAAAGTGTGGGTAACAAACCCTATTACACTATTTGTGGGACTGTAAACCAGTACAACTATTCTCAAAAACAGTTTGGAGATTCTTCAAAAAACTAAACATAGCCAGACGCCAGTAGCTCACCCTATAACCTGAGCTATTCGGACTGAGATCTGAGGATCACAGTTCAAAACCAAGCTGAGCAGGAAAGTCCATGAGACTCTTATCTCCAATTAGCCACCAGAAAACCAGAAGTGGCACTGTGGCTCAAGAGGCATAGTGAAATCCGGGCGCCGGTGGCTCACATCTGTAATCCTAGCTACTCAGGAGGCTGAGATCTGAGGATCGAGGTTCAAAGCCAGCCTAGGCAGGAACATCCGTGAAACTCTTGTCCCCAATAAACCACTAGAAAACCGGAAGTGGCGCTGTGGCTCAAGGGGTAGAGCGCTCGCCTTGAGCTGAAGAGCACAGGGACAGCGCCCAAGCCCAGAGTTCAAGCCCCACAACCAGGGGGAGGAGGGGCGGGGAGAAAAAAACAAAGAAACATAGAACTACCCTATAATCCAGCCATACTATTCTTGGGCATCTATCCAGACTATTAAAAGTCAGGCTATGGTAAAGACATTTGCCCATCCATGTTCTCTGCTGTACTATACACAATTGCCAAGTTACGGAAACAGCCCAGATGCCCTATAACAGATGAGTAGATAAAGAAAATATGGTACCTACACACAATGGACTTTTGGTCATTCATTAGAAAATGTCATTTGCAGGAAAATAGATAGACTTAAAACAAATCATGTTAAGTATACCAAGCTCATAGAGACCAACGGCACATATGTTCTTACATATGCAGAAGCTAGATGTAAAATACAACTAAGGCATGATTACATGCACAAGGCTTAATACCTTTATACACAAACTGACTAAAGAAGGGTATATTAAGGGGAAGAATCCAAGGCATAACTTCTCTGAACAACTTAGGTACTGTTTATCAAAATGAATTCCAAGAAATGGAAACATGATAACCCTGTAAGGTCCAGGGTTACATGGATTTATGGCCAAATTCCATCAGATTTTCAAAGAATTAATTCTAATACTCACAAACTCTTCCATGAAATAGACAAAGAATACTACAGAATTTATTGTATAAAACAAGTATTGCACTCATTGCAAAACCAGAGACGTAATAAAGAAAAACAATTATAAACCAAACTCACTGATAAGTATTAAAAAAAAAAAATCAGTAAAATCCTTACAAACAGGGGCTGGGAAGGTGGCTCAGTGGTAGAGTGCATGTCTTCCATGCATGAGGCCCTGGGTTTGATTCCTCAGGACCACATAAACAGAAAAAGCAGGAAGTGGCACTGTGGCTCAAGCGGTAGAGCGCTAGCTTTGAGCTGAACAGCTGAGGGACAGTCCACAGGCCCCGAGTTCAAGCCCCACGACTGACCAAAATAAAAAAAATCCTTATAAACAGAATTCAACAACACGTTTTAAAAAATGCAATATAATCAAGCTGATTTCCTTTCAGAATATGGTTCAACATATGCAAATTAATACCAATAAATAAATAAATACCACATAAACAGGACCAAGAATAAAAAAAAATCCCATGATTTCAACTGATGCAAAAAAAACCTTGAGTAAACAAAAAAATTCAGTATTTTTATATATTTATTTTTATAAAAGCTATGAAGAAATAGGAATGAAAGGGACATGAACTTATTAAAAGCTGTTTATGACAAACCCATAACCAACATCACATTAACTGAGGAAAACTAAAATCATTACCCTTAAAGTTTGAAATGAAACAAGCCTGTTCACTCTACCCATTCTTATTCAATGAACTACGAGAATCCTAACCAGAACAACAAGGGAGGAGAAAGAAATAAAAGAGATTCACATAAGGAAAGAAAAATCAAATTATCCCTAATTGCCAATGATAAGATCCTGTACAGTACTTAATAAATCCTACAGATTCCACCAAAAATCATCTACATCTGATAAATACCTTCAGAATTTTATCAGGATATCAAAAAATCAATATTCAAAAATACGTATCTTTTCTATATACTAACAATGAATAGGCTGAGACAGAAATTAGGAAAACAGTATCATTCACAATACTGTTAAAAACAATAAAAAGGGCTGGGAAGGTGGCTCTGTGATAGAGTGCTTGCTTTGCATGCATGAGGCCCTGGGTTCGATTCCTCAGCCCCACATAAGCAGAAAAAGCCAGAAGTGGCACTGTGGCTCAAGTAGTAGAGTGCTCACCTTGAACTGAAGAGCTGAGGGACAGCACCCAGGCCCGGAGTTCAGGCCCCATGACCGACAAAAAAAAATAAAATAAAATAAATAAAATACCCACATACTAACAAAGGAAGTAAAAGACTTATACAATAAAAACTATAAAACCTTAAAAAAAAATTGAAAAATAAGGCCAGGCGTTGGTGGCTCACGTCTGTAATCCTGTCTACTCAGGAGGCTGAGATCTGAGGATTGCAGTTCAAAGCCAGCCCAGGCAGGAAAGTCCATGAGACTCTTACCTCCAATTAACCACCAGAGAAGTGGAAGTGGCACTTTGGCTCAAAGTGGTAGAGCACTAGCCTTGAGCTGAAGAGCTCAGGGACGGTTCCCAGGCCAAGAGTTTAAGCCCCACAACCAACCAAAAAACATTTTTTTTGAAAAAAATTGAAAAAGACATCAGAAGATGAAAAGAAATATGCTTACGGATTTGTAGAATAATGTTAAAATGGCCATATAGCCAAAAGCAATGTACAAAATCAATGCAATACCCATCAAAATCCCAATATTATTCCTGATGAAATTACAGAAAGCAATCCAAAAATTCATATGAAGGTATAATAGACCTCAAACAGCAAACAGAATTCTATGTAAAATGAGTACTCCTGAAAGTATCATAACAGCAGACTTCAAAAACATCTTGGTACAGACAGACACAAAACAGACTCAAAAACCAATGGAACAGTAAAGAAAATCCAGGAATAAAAAAACTGACATAAAAGTACTAAGAAGTAGAAATCCTAATTATGTTTGTAGAGGTGGGAAAATTTTGAGAGATTAGAACACTGGGAATGAAAGCCAAAACATAGCTACTACATAAATCAAAACTTACTTTTTCTGTAGTAACAGTCAATGATGGAACCAATGCAGGTGATGGTTCTGGTTGCTTCTTGTGTTTTTGTTTGTGTTTGTCCTTCTCTTTATATTTCTAAAAAATAAACAGAAAATCTAATTTAAACTATAGCCAATATATGCAATACTCAATTATAATTCCTTGGTAATTTTAACTATTAATGATTATGTCAAAAAATAACTAAAATCCAGACACTGGCAGGTGATTCATGTCTATAATCCTAGCTACCAAGGAGGCTAAGATCTAAGGATTGCAGCTTGATGTCAGCCCAGAGAGAAAAATACAAGAGACTCTTACGTCCAATTAACCAGCAAAAACCTGAAAGCTGAGGCCTGACTCAGGTGGTAAAGTGACAGCCAATGAGCAAAAAAAGCAAGTGAGGACAAAAAACCTGTGGCATTAACTTCAAGCCTCACTACCCACAAAGAGAGAGAGAGAGAGAGAGAGAGAGAAAGAAAGACAGGAAGAAAGAAAGGAGGGAGGGAGGGAAGGAGGGAGGGAGGGAGGGAGGGAGGGGGTATAGGAGAACAAGGAAGGAAGGAAAGAAGGCAACATCCAAATGCCTAAAATTACATCCCAGAAGTTGTAGCCACATCTAATTTCCCTGTTCCACCCACCCTGGTATATTATTTATTCTACATCCTTTTTGTCCTCCTTCCCCAAGAAATTAAAGAAAAAGTATGTTCTTGCTCACATCTACTCCTCTTCTTCATAGTTAAGATTTTAAGAGTTAAGTGCTCTTTCCACGCTTACGCCCACTCCTTTTGTTTACTAACTTTTCTTGGTTTCTGCACCCAACCCACTTCACTGGAACTCTTCAACACTTCCTTATCACTCCAACGGCCATACATTTATATCCTCTACCTGAAGACTCTCTCATTTCCTCTGTAGATTCTTACTTTCCTCACTATTGAGGAAGGGAAAGAAAGCTCTTATAGTACAATGATAGAATTACAAATTTCCTTTTGTCAACCAATATTTATTTCAGGCTAAAATCACCAAAAGTTGCAAAGATTTCTGGCTAAAAAACTGATTAAATACAAGGCATCTGTCCAAATCTAAGATAGCTCCAAAAGACCTCTGCACCTTAGTAGACTGATCTACTCACAATAGAATACTGCAAAAATGCTAATATGTTATCAACATGGTTAAACTGGAAAATCTTTTATTACATATACTTGTAACACTTTTGCAAATCGTTCAACCAGGGGGGGGGGGGGGTGATTGTAAAACTCATAATGCTTCTTTAAATATAATATATATATATGTACATTTTTTTCTAACTTTTCCATTTCTCTTCCATTAGATCATACTCTGAAAAGAGCTGAGTGCCAGTAGGTGCCAGTAGCTCATGTCTTGTAATCCTAGCTACTACTAAGGAGGTTGAGAGCTAAGAAACATAGTTCAAAAGCCAGCCCCACTTGGAAAGTCCATGAAACTCTTATCTACAATTAACAACCAAAAAAGCCAGAAGGAATAGAGATTTAGCCTTGAGAAGAAAAAAGAAAAAACAAGCTCAGGGCAGATAGAGCCCGGACCTTGAGTTCAAGCCCCAGGACCAGCACAAGAAAAAAAGAAAAAGAAAAAAAAAAGGCTAGATGCCATGTTACACCCCTAAAGGGAGAAAAAAAATTAACACTGAACTCGGACAACACCAATATGCTAGACATATGAGTAAGCCATATGCATTTAAGCCAACATCTTGAAGGTAATTTCATGAGAACCTGAGTTGCAAATACTAAATCCAAATTCCTGACCCACAGACACTAAAAAGCAGTAAATGTTTATTATAGTTTTAAGCCACCATTTTAGAGTAATTTGTCATGTTACAATAGGTAAACCATACAGCTACAGATTACTCTGGGAATTTGTTATCAGGAGCAGATATTCCCCTAACAACAACACCTAAAATATACAGGGTAGATTACCATCAGTGGGCTGAGAGAACTTTCAGGAGAAATTAGTGAAAGCTTTATGTGTACTAAAGAGACTATTACTACCAACCTATTGCCTTAAAGGAAGATGTTATTGAATGCTCAGAAGAAAACGAAGGGGAAAAAATGAAAATTTTATCTTGGAAGAGATGTAGTTTACTGACATGTGTTTAGCAGGAAACAAGACCCTCAGTTCAATCCCACCACTAGAAAAGAAAAGAGAAAAGAAAAATGTGAAAGTGACACTGAGTCTGTACATAAAAATTTAGTAAGACTGGTAACATGAAAAATAAAGTATCTAATTAATGAATTGCATGATGTAAATACAAAGATTTCTAGGTTATTTTTTTTGAAGGTTGTCTAGTTTCTTACTGTTTACAATAAAATCAAGAGTAAAGAGATAACTTAAGGATAAACTACTGTGAAAAAGAAATCAGCCAGGTGTTAGTGGCTCATACCTATGATCTTAACTACTCAGAAGGCTGAAATCTGAAGATAACAGTTCAGAGCCAGCTCAGACAAGAATGTCTATGATACTCTAATCCCCAATTAATAATAAAAGTTTGAGTAATAGATAGGCTCAAGTAATAGATAGAGCATGTTACCTTTGAGAAAAACGTTCACGACAGCACCCAAATCCTGACTGTAAGCTCTAGGACCAGCACATACACAAAAAAAAAACTCATGGCTAATATTTGAAAATGATTTACTGGTTAAAATCTGTAACAACAAATAGTAATTTGTCAGTACTAGTATGTTAATTGCAATCATATAAAAATACCTTTAATTAAAAAGAGATCAGCCAGACACTAGTGGCTCATACCTGTAATCCTAGTTTAGCTACTAAGGAGGCTAAGATCTGACTTCAACTACAATTTGAAGCCAGCCCAGGCAATAGTGTGTAAAACTCTTATCTCTTAATTAATTACCCAAAAAAGCCAGAAGTGGAGCTGTGGCTAAAGTGGTAGACCACTAGTCTTGAGCAACAAAGCTCTGAGCCAGCACTCAGACCCTGAGTTCAAGCCTCACAACCAACCAAAAAAAGAAAAGAAACAAAAACCCTACACAGTAAAGCACTTGTAGACTAGAGGAGCACTATATTTGCATTTAATTTTCTAATAGTTTAGGAGGAGAAATCTACAAAGAATAACAGAAATACAGCAAAACAGTAGGGAAAAGGTGACTATGTAAACTTAACAGAGTAGCTGGACCTAATGACACATACTGAGACCGAGGTACAGGATGGCAAGTTCAAGACCAACCTGGACTAGATGTTTTAGAGAGACTTTTTCTCTAAAAGATACTCCTTCAAATGAAAAAGGAAAGGAAAGGAAAGCTAGCAAGGTAAAATATTCACAGTTTAGAATCTGGGTGAGTGGTATACAGGCAGCTATTCACAGTATATCTACCACACATCTAACATCACAAAATGAAACAGTAAAAGGAGGGTTTGAGGTATGGTAGAGTGCTTGCCTAGCATTTATAAATATGTGGATTCATCCTCCTCCCAATCCCCTATTCCCTGTGCAAGGAGAGAAAGATAGGGGGGAAAAAAGTTTAAAAGGCATACAATCTTTCTGCTTTATGTTCATAGGCCAAAAACTAAAATTGCTTATAAAACTCTTAGTGAGGGCTCGCATGCATGAGGCCCCAGGTTTGATTCCTCAGCACCACATAAGCAGAAAAAGCCGAAAGTGGTGAGCTGAAAAGCTGAGGGACAGCGCCTAGGCCCAAAGTTCAGCTCCCACAACCACCACCACCACCAACAAAAACCTCTTAATGACCCAGTCCCTTCACACAATTTAGCCAAACCAAGCACACTCCCACCACTGTTGCTCCCGTGAAAACCTATGTAGAATTCTCTTAGCTCTACATATGTAGAAGCAGAGAGCTTCAAAATTAAATGCAAGATTCCAAAAGGAAAAAGGAGTATCAAGTAATTCTCAATGCTAAAAACTTTCACACAGCACAGAGAATTAACCCTACATTTATTGGCAGTTTAAGTCCTATGAGCCACAGAAGAAAAATAGTCTAGTCTCTTCAGAGATGAGTGACCCAAAACAAAAGAGAAATACAGTCAAATCCACTAGGTTCACAAACACTAATCAAAAAACTCTCCCACAAATCTCCACTGTATTCAAATAGTGTTAAATTGGTACAAAAGTTCCAGCATCTGCTGCCAGCTACTAAAAAGAAACTGAAATCAAGGTCAAGTAAGCAGAAGGAACAAATCTCATCTCACTATAGTAGGGGACAGATGGGACTTCTGGTCTACCTGTTTGGGGACATTTCCATAGAAAGACAATCTCTTGGCTTAAAATGGTTCAACTTGGGAATGGGAATGTGGCTTAGTGAGTGCTTTCTTAGCATGCATGAAACTCTGGGTTCAATTCCTCAGTACCATATAGACAGAAAAGGCCAGAAGGGGCGCTGTGGCTCAAGTGCTAGAGTGCCAGCCTTGAGCAAAAGAAGTTCAGGGAAAGTGCCCATGCCCTGAGTTCAAGCCCCAGGACTAGAAGAAGAAAAAAAAAAAAAAAGATTGTTCTACTTGACAACTTTTAAACTTGAAAAAAGGCTTCCAAATGGCAGGTACAAAGAGAATATGTATCTCACAGAAACTATACTTCAAATTTCAGATTTTAAGCTTCTTGACATAAAAATATACACTATATCCAATTCTCTATGGCAAAGCACAATGACAAAAAACAACAATTTCTAATCATCCATATGATCACTGTATTGCTAAGCTATGACAATCAATGAATATGTAATAGTAACTAACGATGAACAGCCTATAAAGTAATTCATACATTATATCTCTGATACAAAACAGACCAATTACCACTGGTGAGTGTGAGAGATAAGTTTAAGGACCAAATTAACAAATATAAGATTATCTCAATGAAATAATAACCACTAATTTCTAAATAATGACCTACAAATTGGTCTATAGAAAGTCCTTTCTGAAGCTATAAACTTTCCAATATACCACATATTTTGTGACATCTGATATGCCTCTCTTTTTCCCAGCCCTTCACACATCTCACTCTATGGTACGGTTTCTTTAAACACAAAAATAGTAAATGTAAATGTCAAAGTAATTCCATTTTCCTCTAATCACTACCAGTTGTAGACACTGACTTTGCACAAGACATCTAGCCCCTCTATAAAAAAGACTACTTTGCAATTCTTAGACAGTTTTAAAAGCTGTCAAATGAGAAAGGGACAGAAGTGATGTTGGTTTTTTTAACCTTTTTACTGGTTATAAAGAGAATTTTTTTTAATGAAGAATCCTTTGAAGACTTTAGAAATTTTCCTTTTTAAAGACCATTGAAAGCTGGGTGCCAGTGGCTTTACTTGCAATGCTAGCTACTCAGGAGGCAGAGATCTGAGAATTTTAATTGGAGAGCGGGTCCCACTGTAAAGCTTGTGAGACTCTTATCTACAATTAACTACCAAAAAAAAAAAAAAAGATAAAAGTGGAGATATGGCTCAGTGGTAGAATGCTCACATGGGGGTAGGGGTGGGGATGGGGTGGGGAGGTGGGGGAGAAGGACTCAAGAGAAAGCAATTAGGCCTAAGTTCAAGCCCCAGGACCTTCACACACACCATGCACACACACAATAAGAGAGCACTGAAATACATTCCTAGTGATTTGAACTAGATATTGCTATTTTAGTTATTGTTACTTAATAAAACTATACACATATATGTAATGTACATCTGGATCTCTACCTCCAACAGTTCCTGACAATAGAGCTTTACTAAAAATTCATGCATTTTTATCTGGACAGGCCTTAAAAAAGAGCTAACACCTGGGGTCTTCACTTCTGTTACTTTTTAGTAAATTGAGACAGTTTCACAATGTAGCCAAATTCTTGTCTTCCTGCTTCAGCCTCCAAGTGCTAAGGGCTACTCATGATCACACCTAGCCTTGATGTAAAACTCTTAGAAAAAAGAAAGAGAGAAAGGGGGAGAGGGAGAAGGAGAGGGACAGGGAGGGGGAGAGGAAAAGGGAGGGGGAAAGGGAGAGGGAGGAGGAGGGGAAGGGAGAGGGAGGGAGGGAGGGAGGGAGGGAGGGAGGGAGGGAGGGAGGGAGGGAGGGAGGGAGGGAGGGAGAGGAAAGGAGGGAATATGAATGAATATCCAGGCCAGGGAGACAGACATAAGCCTGTAGTCCCAGGTTTGAGACAGAAGGATTACCTAAGTTCAAAGGCTGAGGGCCTGCCTAAGCATCACAGCAAGACCCTCTTTCTTATTAAAAATTAAAAAAAAAAAAACACTTAAAAAACATGGGTTGGGAAGGTGGCTCAGTGGTAGAGCGCTTGCCTTGCATGCTTGAGGCCCTGTGTTCGATTCCTCAGCACCACATAAGCAAAAAAGAAAAAAGCAGGAAGTGGCGGTGTGGCTCAAGTGGTAGAGCGCTAGCCTTAAGCTGAAGAGCTGAGGGACAGTGCCCAGGCCCAGAGTTCAGGCACCATGACCAGACCCCCCCCCCCCCCAAAAAAAAAAAACTTATAAAACAACCAACTAGGGCTGGGAATGTGGCTTAGTGGTAGAGTGTCTTGCTGAGCATGCATGAAGCTCTAGGTTGGATTTCTTAGTATCACATACACAGAAAAAGCCAGAAGGGACACTGTGGCTCAAGTGGTAGAGTGCTAGTCAAGAAAAAGAAGCTCAGGGGGCTGGGAAGGTGGCTCAGTGGTAGAGCGCTTGCCTTGCATGCCTGAGGCCCTGGGTTCGATTCCTCAGCACCACATAAGCAAAAAGAAAAAAGCTGGAAGTGGCGCTGTGGCTCAAGTGGTAGAGTGCGAGCCTTGACCTGAAGAGCTGAGGGACAGTGCCCAGGCCCAGAGTTCAGGCCCCACTACCGGACCAAAAAAAAAAAAAAGAAGCTCAAGGACAGTGTCCAGGCCCTGAGTTCCACCCCCAGGACTGGCAAAAATAAATAAATAAGAAATAAGTGAATAAATAAAATAAATGTAAATCCAGGCCTGGTAGTGCAGGTAGTGCATCTTAATCCCAAGGATCTTAAGTTCATGGCCAACCTAACTATTGTATCCAAAAGAAGTAGAAAACCAAACTTGTAGCGCTCCATCTTTTCAACTATACTACCATTTAACATCCAATTTAATAATCACTTGGTCTCACCACCAAATATTCCCAAGACAAGCAAACAGATCTAACAATTTGTACTATATTTACATTATCAACTATAAATCTGCTTGTTTTTGTTTTCTTTTAAGAATAAAATACAGCCGGGTGCCGGGTGCCAGTGGCTCACACCTGTAATCCTAACTACTCAGGAGGCTGAGATCTGAGGCCCGTGACTGACAAAAAAAAAATAAAAAATAAAGTAAAATACAAGCTGGGAACCAGTGGTTCACACCTGTAATGCTAGCTACTTAGGAAGTGAACATTTGCCAACAGCAGTTTGAAGCCAATCCAGGCAGGAAAATCTGTGAGACTTTTATTGCCAATGAAGTACCAAAAGACCAGAAGTATAGATATAGCTTAAGTGGTAGAGCACTAGCCTTGAGAAAAAAAGCTCAGAGAATGCACCCAGGCCCCAAGTTCAAGCCAGTACTAGTACATCTATCATCATCAACATCATCATCATCATCATCATCATCGCAGTAATAATAGTTATAAGTTTGGTAACAAAAACAGTTCTAAACAATCCACACAGTACTTATACACCTCTGAAATCGAAAACTAAACAAGTATTTTTTAATTCTAATATTCAACGATTATTTCAGAAAATAAAAAGCTATTTGGAAAGGTCGATAAGTGAGAACAGTCATCTATACTATGCTTATTCAACACTGTATTACATTTAATAATTGTCTTTCAAATACAATGATAGGGTATAGATTCAAATAAATATGATCATACTAAAAACACTTCTAAAATAAATTAATGCTCAAGAATGGTATAATAGAAGCCCATTAACAGAGACACATCTGTCTTCAAACTTTATGTACCTTATCTAAAGAAACTTTACTTCTTAATTTTATAAGTTTGAATAAAATCGCATGATGTCTTAGTACTAATGGAACTAATCCTGGTGTTGCCTTTATCAGCAATCCAAACCATAGATACAAACTAGATTTCTATTATTACTTTATTACAAAACCACATCATATATCATAACGAAGTCAAGAAAAATACGTAAAATGTATATATATGATCTTATACATGATTTCATATATTGCATATATTGAGATGGTTGTATGTCTGTATATGTCTGTGTATATACTTACATCAATATATACAGAAAATGTTAGATAACTACCCTAAAGGTGGGCATAAAGTTACACTTTGTATTTCACTCACATTTAATCTCAAACACTTTGAATTTAAAAATATGTACAATGAAAAAAGTTACAAATAAAAGCTGCAAATAAAGGATGCTTAAATAATTTACACAATAGCTTTTCCCAAGCCCAAAGTATTCATGGATGAAATTACTGTTCTTAAACATAACCTGCAGAAATATTTTCAAAACTAGCATAAGCCAGTTGGGTAAGAATACTGTTTTCCATTTGAAGATGTCCTTTATATCTTCATTTCCACTGAAGCAATTCATATTATTTTATTATACTAGCAATATATTCTCTTAGAAAATTAAAACTCAAATATGCAGAATTCTACAATATTCATTTTTAGTTTACTAAAAGTAGGTAAAAATGTAAGCAGAAAACAGGTAAGTATGAAGACAGATTAGTGTTTAGGCAAGATTTTAGTGTTTTAACTAAAAGACAAAATATTTTCAAACAATGGTCTAACACTTGGCCGTTTTTTAAAAAATGATAAACCATTATTAACATCACTGAAAAACAAAAAACAGTCAAAAATAGTAATAACCTGGAAAGTCTTCTATTGTAAAAAAGAAAAGCTGATGAGATAATTACTTACATGTGATAAAATCATGATAGGTAGAAACAAACCAATATTGTTGAAATCACCTAGATTTCACAAAATGACCACAGTTGACACATGCAAGAAATCACTCACATGCTTTCAATGAAGTTACATGTTAAATGTTCAGTTGCAATGGGTAAAACCATATTCACAAATATGGCATTATTTTAAACCTACTCTTCTAATACTCTTTATTAGTCAAAAACTTTTCTGTACTTCAGTGTGTCCATTTAGTTATCCAGAACTTAATTAAAATTATATAAAAAGGAAAAAAAATTCTATTAAGTGATGTGCTACGTAATTAGCAACAACAAATCCACTTACTTTTTTCTCTTTCTCATGATGTTTATCCTGAGAGTGAGAGGAAGAATCACTTAAACTTTGATCATATGACCTATTAGATCCCCGTTTGCTCTTTTTCTAAAAAAGAAAATATTTATACATACATGTATATGTATATAAAAAATTACCTAGAGAATGTTAGGTTTAAATTATTTCAGATGTGTAATATTTTTAAATGTCTATTGAAAATTTTTTAAAGGCACTGTTTTGATTTATATAATCCAGACTATAAGTCATCCATTGCATTGTGAAGAAAAAAAACTAAAGTCAACATTAATAGCACTATTTTGTATATTTATTACAGTGTGAAAATAGACTGTCTACTTTCAAATAAGCTACTATGCTTTCAATGTTGGCTTTAAAAAAAAATGTTTCAACCAAAAGAAAAAAACCATATTAAAAGAAAGATGTCAAGACTAAAAGAAAGAAAAGTAAATATTTAAAGAGTTACTGTATGCCACTAGTAAAGCAAGAAGTTTTTAATCTGATACTTTCAGTGTTACAGAAAACAAATCTGTAAAAACTTATCTAGGCATCCTTTTAGAGGAAAAAAAAAAAGGTAAAGGAAATGTCAGTAGTAGACCCATGCATTTTTTTCAAAGCACTACTAAAAGCATTATACATTTCTGTTAAAAATAACATACACCACTGCATAAAAAAGGATTAAGAGTTACTTGGAGTGTTTAAAATGGTTCTGGTATTACAACTCATTAAACAAGATGAAAGTATCCACAAAACATGCTCAAAATCTACATAAATGTAGTTTATACAATGTTACTAAATTATTAAACTTTCTTCCAATAAGCAATTGAGGTACATCAATAATTAGTAATGGGAAAATTCTATTTGTACAAATTTCGTCCATTTATTTGTATGAATTTCATCATTTTTTAAAATTTTATCTGTGTCAATTCTCATTTGGGAAATATCTAGTAGTTTAAAACCGAGGAAGCAAAATGTTAAATTTCATAATCTCAATATTTTTCACAAGGCATTATAATGTATCAAAGCATTTAACATCAAAAGATATAAGCACTTTCAAGAATGGTCACATTTATTAACAATGAAATACATTCTAGCAAATGTGTTAAGTGACTCAACCTAGTATGACCATCATAATAAAGTATACTTACACAAGCTAGATGAAACATTCTTCTAGACTAAATGGTGTAGCCTATTGCTTCTAAGTTGCAAACCTATACAGCACATTACTGTATTAAATATTGCAGACAATTATAACACAATATTTCGGTATCTAAGCATATCTAAACAGAGAAAAGGTAAAGTAAAAACAATCAATAGTAACTTTTCAGCTATATTATAATCTTATCAAGCCACCATCATATGTATTGTCCATATTTAAATAATATATATTGTACTTCTTATCATGATTCAGAATATTGGAAACATGAGATGCTCATTTCATAAGACAGGGTCCCTAATAATATTATTTCTTCAAAACTAAAAACCTAAAATTGTTTAAAACAATAGTGCATTCACCAGAGAAAGGTAGTGGCTTAAAAAGTAAACACTAGAAAGAAAAACAAAGACTTAAATTATCAGTGCATAAACGCATGTACACTGTATCATTAAGGACTAGGACATACACTTAGAACTGTAAAGAAATAATGATCTTTCAAATAAATATGGGCAGCAATATCTCACAGTGAATCAAATGCTATTTACTCAATCATGCATGTAAAATATTGACTAGATCTTTTAAAAAAAATCAAAAACAAACTATACACACACACCAAAGTCTGTTTTCAAGGTCTCTGACCAAGTTACAAAAAGACCTTTACTACAGTTTTACTGTTTCATAGTGAATGGAAATAAAAATAACCCCCACAAACAAAAAATGCATAATGGTTATGAGCCAGGAAGATGGAAACAAATGATAAGAAAATCCAAAAAGAGGGCCTGGCACAGTAGGTCACACCTGTAATCCCAAAACTCAGGAGACTGAGATAGGAAGAATATCCACATGCTTTCATTAACATAGTGAGTTCCTGGTCAGCTTGTCTACAGAGCAAGACTGTCTCAAACAAAAAAAGATCCAAAATGATCATTATATGCTAAAAATCAAGTCTTCACAAGTTAACTTTTCCAGTAGACTACAAACATATATTATCAACTGCTAATAAATACAGTCTAATCTATGATGTTTTAGATCACCTAAATGAACCAAGGCAGAACAAAATCTTTTTAAATTACTAGTTTTCATTTCTAATACAAATTTACTCTTAAGCAAAAACTCAAGAGAAAAGTTGATATGCCTTTTATTTTAATAACAATATCACTCTAGTGTCAAAACTATTATTTTAATATTAGGTTCAAAAGTAGTTCTTACCAGCTTACTAAAATGGTATTTACAGTAGCCACAGTACTGGACATTATCTGCACCATTACCTTCTTCTTCACAAAGTAATCCAGCAAACTGAGCACTGAAAATAAAGGCCAAGTACATCAATAAAAAATTCAAGCCACAGTATATACAAAGCTACTTCTAAGCATCAAACACTTGTAGGAAAATATAAAGTAAATAGGATTGGTATGTAGCTCAGTGGTAAAGTGTCTGAGTAGCATGCCCAAGATCCTGGGGATGACTCCTAGTACCACCACCAAAAAGAGAAAGGAAAGGGAGAGTCATCCTGGGGCTTGAAGTCAAGCTCTGAGCACTGTCCCTGACCTGCTGTTTCTCAAGGCTAGCATTTTACCACTTGAGCTCCACTTCCAGCTTCTTTGGTAGTCTATTGGAGATAAGATTCTCACGACTCTCCTACCGGGGCTGGCTTCAAGCCAAGAGCCCCAGGTCTCAGCCTCCTGAGTAGCTAGGATTACAGGTGTGAGCCACTGATACCTGGCAATGTCGTATTTTAAAATAAACTTTTCATCCACTTCTATTAAGGATGAGGATATGTTCATATTTTTGTGTCACTAAAACTCATTCAAGTTTTCAGGGTATTTGTTTCATTGCTTGTTTTATGGCATTTCAGACTGCAGGCACAGCCTCTATAGGAGCCACACCCCCAAGCCAGGGAAACCTAGCAAGAATCCCTTCTCCAGAAAAAAATAAAATTATTTTTCACCTCAAAATTTTTCAATCTATGTCACATATACAAAAATAAAGGCCATGCCTCTCTAAAACACAAAAAGGACAGGTGATAGGTATTACATGGATGAAGATTACATCCTCTTAAAAAAAAAAACAAACAAACAGCTTTCTTTTGTGTATGAGGGGTAGCTCAAGATGGGATTTCCCTGGGTAGCACAGGCTGCCCTCAAACTCATGATCCTCCTCCCTCAGTCTCCCAAGTTTATGCATCAGCATACTCAGCCTTCAAAGGAAATTTGGCAAGGGGCAAGGAGGTTAGTTCTGGGGATTGAAATCTGGATCTCATGCTTGCTAGGCAGATGCTCTACCACTTTAAAGGCCAGGCCTCCAGCCCCTCTGTGCATTAGTTATTTCAGAGGTAGAGTCTTGTATGTATGTCCAGGCTGGGCTGGGATCTACCCTCTTGTGCTTCCCTATGTAACTCAGGCTGAAAAGTGTCCACCACTGAGCCCATCCATAGAGCCTTGCCAGTGACTTGGATCAAGAAAAATGCCATCACACCCATCCATGGGGAGAGGGAAACCAATGGAACTTTTTTTTTTTGGTTGGGGGGGGCCGGGGGGGGTGGGGGTGGGGGGGAGGTCCGTCATGGGGCTTGAACTCTGGGCCTGGCCGCTTTCCCTGAGCTTTTCAGCTCAAGGCAAGAGCTCCACCGCTTGAGCCACAGCACCACTTCCGGTTTTCTGCTGGAGTCTCACACGGACTTGGCTTTGAACCATGATCCTCAGATCTCAGTCTCCTGAATAGCTAGGATTACAGGCATGAGCCACCAGTGACCAGCTCATTGAAACTTTTATTTCTGGGCAAGTCTCAAATCACAATCCCTGGATCTTCACCTCCAAAGTATCTAGGGTTACAAGTGTAAGCCACCTAATCTAATTTTAATTAAAAATTAAAATTTCAACTTCATTTTAAGAAATTCCCATCAATAAAAGGGAGTTTCTTAAAATGAAAACATCATCTAGCACTCATTTCGCAATTCTAAATGCTTCAAACTCAAAACACATAAGGCAAAATAGCCTAAGTAGTTCTTTTCAGCCAAAACAATTTAAGAAAGCTGGAGATCAATAGCAGAGAATCTGCCTAGCATGTACTCTTGAGTTCCATCCTAACTACACACATGGACATAACAGAAGAGGAGCTGGGATATTTAGCCGTGGAGTGTTTACAGAGGCTCTGGGCTCAATTCCCATCATCAAAATTTTAAATATATATATATATATGAGTCTTTAATTTCAATTCCTGCATGGGAATCAAGAAATATGTCTGTTTTTCTGTTTATCTTTACTTTTCTTTTCTTTTTTTTGGCTAGTCATAGGGCCTGAACTCTGGGCCTGGGCGCTGTCCCTCAGGTCTTCAGCTCAAGGCTAGCACTCTACCACTTGAGCCACAGCGCCACTTCTGGCTTTTTCTGCTTATGTGGTGCTAAGGAATAGAACCCAGGGCCTCATGCATGCAAGGCAAGCACTCTACAACTGAGCCAACTTCCTAGCCCCTCTCCTTACTTTTGAAACATGTCATACCAAAATAACTTCTTGCTAAAATAAATAAATAAATAAATTTTATATATATATATATATATATATATATATATGTGGAGGAAGAATGGAATTGAAATGTAGTGATATTTCTACTTCTAAAAAGAGAAAATGCTAGTTTATAATCATCCTGTTAGTGAGACCTTTATACTTTAAACATCCCAAAATTACTGATAGGTCTCATATGACAGCTCCCACTCTCAGAAAATCTTTCATCTTTTGGAAAATTAGGTAAAGTAATAATATAATAAACACAAAAAAGTCTGGTAAGGTGGCTCAGTGGTAGAGCACTTGCCTTGCATGCATGAGGCCCTGGGTTCGATTCTTCAGCACCACATAAGCAGAAAAAAATAAAGAAGCCGGAAGTGGCGCTGTGGCTTAAGTGGTAGAGCGCTAGCCTTGAGCTGAAGAGCTGAGGGATAGCGCTCAGGCCCAGAGTTCAGGCCCCACAACCAGACCCAAAAAAACCCAAAACATTATAAGATCAATAAACACAAAAAAATCTTGTTCATGTCCTAAAAATAGACTAAAATGTGGTTCATATTTCCAGCTTAGGAAATAAACATATGCCTAAATTGGCAGATAAGCATGGTCTTATTCTTAAAATAAGTCTATCAATTATTCCTAAACTTTTATGTGGAACTATTATCTATTATACAGGGTAAATTTTTGCCCCCCAAAGTTTATACTGCAAAAATGAATGTAAGTAAACTTTCAAGAAGTAGCCACTTTAACATGAGAATGATGGTAACTGCATTCTTTTTCCCTTGAGGCATAAAAGTTTATCCTATACTAGTATCTCAGACACTGTACTATTAACCTAGATACACTGATTTCCTTCTAATAACAAAAGGAATCACCTATGCCCATTTTTAAAATAGACAAATTATCTCTATTTCAACTATTGTCTGAGCATAAAAACTATTTAAATAAAGTGTACATGGGTACTAAAGCTGGGAGGGAGGGCTTGAACTCAGGGTCTAGGCATTTGCTCAAAGCTAGCATTCTACCACCTGAACCACAGCTCTACTTTTGGCTTTTTGGTGGTTAAATGAAGGTAAGAGTCTCAGACCTTCGTGCCCAGAATGGCTTCAAATCATGATCCTTAGATCTCAGCCTTCTGAGTAGTTACAGTTACAAGTATGAGCCATCAATAACTAGCCAATTTATTTTACTTTATTTTCCTTCCTCAGATCTCAAGCATGAGCTACCAATGCTCAGCTCTAGTCTTTAATAAGATTGTTATACAATTTACAAGCCAAGGATCACTTTGGTACAATGATGAAAACATACTTACCATGTTACATGGAAAGCCTGTCGACATCCATGTTTATTACATGTCATGCAAGCACCAGTGGCAGCTTTGCTTTCTCTTCCTTGTTCATCACAAATGTAGCAAGTCTTAAGATAAAGGAACAAAAATAAAAATCAAACAAAAATCAAATACATGCTTAACATGAATCTTGCTTTTATAACTAGCTTCAAAAATGAAAATCAGGTTGGCTATCTAAACCTACTTTTCTTTAAAACATAAATTCTTCTTTTTTTTTTTTTTTGTGGGTCCGGTCGTGGGGCCTGAACTCGGGGCCTGGGCGCTGTCCCTCAGCTCTTCAGCTCAAGGCTAGCACTCTACCACTTGAGCCACAGTACCACTTCTGGCTTTTTCTTTTTGCTTATGTGGTGCTGAGGAATCGAACCCAGGGCCTCAGGCATACAAGGCAAGCGCTCTACTACTGAGCCACCTTCCCAGCCCACATAAATTCTTTTCCAGACAGAAATTTAATTTTGTGAACCGTAGACTCAAGAATACATAAGCCACAACATACAAACAGTCATACTAAAAATTCACAAAGGCGCTGTTTTTAAGTCTCAAAATCCCACCAGACAAGATGGAAGCTGTTCGATAGACACAAGAGGTCAGAAGGTAGAACACAGGCTATAACCCCCTTCTTCCTCAAACATCACTGTTGATATATTCAACTGATTCCTTAAACAAGTGTATAAAACTAGAGGTTCTCTTTCCTTTCTGCTGGAAGTAAATACATCTACAAGGAGTTGATATAGGATGTTGGGCCTAGGGATAAAGACTAGCCCTATTATGCATATGAGAGCAAGGTGTAGATCACTCCAACTCTCTATAAGACATCACACTAATATCCTTAATCCTTACCAACAGTACAGAGAGGAAGATGCGCTGGGTCATAAATATGGACAGATATAAGAACACTGGCAACTCTGACAGATATCCTGTCCATTTTCCATGTTTAAAAAAAAAAACTTTTTTACAGCTTGAACTCATGGCCAGTCGTATGATAAAAGACTCAATTACTTTAAAAGAATCTTATCAATGAAATATATAATAAACAAAATTACCAGATGATTGGAAGTTGAGTAAGTCAAAATTTAATGTCTAATTGCATGTAATGCCCTTAAGAGAAACTTAAGAACCAGAGTGCTGCAGTTCTGCCTGAAAAGACAGATTCTTTCTAACAGAGTTCAGAGTTCATGCATAGTAATAGGCTAGCTTTCCATACTATATGCATATACCAAAACATCAGTGTCTCATACATGTATAAATCAACTTGTCAATCAAAAATAAAAAAAAAAATCAAACCAATGGGTTACTCAGACACTATTAGTTCAAAGAAATAAGTTAATAAACTTAAGTAATCTCAGAGTGAGGGGACCTTGTTGGTAAGTAATTAGTACCTCCAAAATAGTAGTAGAAGCAAGCAAAAGAGCAGAACAAAAGATAAACTGAAAGAACCAGAGTACTGGACAGCAAAGGATTCTTCTGGACTCACACTCGTCTCTGGAAATCTAGAAAACTGCACATAAGAACCACATTGGAGGGCTGAGAAGTTGGCTCAGTGGTAGAGCGCTTGCCTTGCATGCCTGAGGCCCTGGGTTCGATTCCTCAGCACCACTTAAGCAAAAAGAAAAAAGCCGGAAGTGGCGCTGTGGCTCAAGTGGTAGAGCACTAGCCTTGAGCTGAAGAGCTGAGGGACAGCACCCAGGCCCAGAGTTCAGGCCCCACGACCGGACCCAAAAAAAAAAAAAGAACTACATTTTACCCAACAGGCAAAATCAAATCTGAATTTGTGGTAAACCTAATAGTATTCCCCAAGTCACACATAAATCCATCAATGAGACTCAAAGAGCTCTAGTAAAACCTTCGATCAAAAACTGGCTGAACATTTACTCTGACACAGTGTCAACTCCTAAGAAGCCAGAGTTGAAAATAACATTACATTCATACCCAATACCCAATATCTGAAAGACTGCATGTAACTCAATGTTAAACCTTCTAAGGAATGACTTGGAACTTCTTGGAAAATAAAAGTCACATCCAACATTAAAGGGTGAGAATCTAGATGGTTAAGAAGGCCTAAATATAAACAGACCCGTAAGTTCTGTGTGTGAATACAAAGTATAACAAGCCTACAAAGTTAAGCTTGATAAAGGATGGTGGGATACATTTTTGTGTGTGTGCAGCTCCATTCCAGGGAGAGTAGACTTGAAAATCAGTTCAGTCAAGTAGCTAAGCAATTCACCAAATAAACATTAAAACCCACAGAAGTAGGTTCATGAAATTTTCAACTAAAAATTTTAAGACATACATAAAAATTAAAAGGTGGGGCTAGGAAGGTGGCTCTGTAGTAGAGCGCTTGCCTTGCATGCATGAGGCCCTGGGTTCCATTCCTCAGCACCACATAAGCAGAAAAAGCACCAAGTGGCACTGTGGCTCAAGTGGTAGAGCACTAGCCTTGAGCTGAAGAGCTGAGGGACAGCGTCCAGGCCCAGAGTTCAGGCCCCACGACTGGCAAAAAAAAAGAATTAGAAAGTATAAGCCATACACAGAAAAAGCGGGCAAAAAATTATGTTTGAGTTTGATCAGTGGTTAGAACTCAACCAAATGAATTCTTTATATTAATGAATCTCAAAGCAGATGAGCTGACAGAAGTAAATTATCAACAGATACACACGCACACATACACGCGCGCTTGCACACACACACACACACCCCAAACAGGACAGCAAGCCAAGAAGGTGTGGTATTTCGGTTTCTGGAACCTTCTATATGAGTTTCTATTCATGGTATGACATGAAATTTCCACTTAGGAGAGCAAGGCAAATTGGCAGATTAGAAACATTGGCTTTTATTCAATCCTTGAATGAGTAGAATCTGATGACAAAGAAGATACTAAGATTCTAAAAACAGAACGAGAGGAGGAAGAGAACCAGAAACCAAAAAGGAAGTGTCAGGAAGACAGAAACCTAGAGAGGAACAAAAGAAAAGGAGCAGGGAGTTGCAAGACAGTCCCTGGCTTCCTCAAAGGACGGGAAGACCAGGTAAAACACGCTGTCAGCATCATCGAGAGAAAATCTAACCTTAGATACTAAGCTATTCTTGGGGCCTCAAAATAAGGCTCAAGGAATCACAGGACATCCTGCCATAGATTTTGGATTTAAGTCAGTCAGTCATAGAACATGTTGAGGAGACAGTGTACCCAACACTCGACCCCCTTCCTCCCACAGGGAAGTTTAAAGTGGGAAGCTATATTGTCAATTTAGACATCAGAGGCAGCAATACCTAGCAGTGCTTGGGAATCCCTGCCAAATCACCCAGCAAAGGAACGGATGTCATAGCAGATTGTGTCAACTGCTGTAGTTGCCTGCAGAGGAACTGAAACTCAATCAGGTCATTTTGCATTAATAAAGGGAAAAATCCATGAAGACGAAATTACAATTAACATATACAGGACAAACAGTAGTGCACATAAGTTCATTAAACTCCTAGACCTAAAAGCAATTATAAACACAAGTACAATCATAGTGGAAAGATTTAAATAATTCACTTTCAAGAGTGATGAATCACTCAAAAATATCATCAAATATAAACCTCAGAACTAAAGGACAGAGAATGTACAGAGAACTATAATCAGTAGCAGCAAAGTATACATTCTTCTCATCAATGAAGAGAACATTCTTTAAAATATATGATATTCTGCTAGGCACCAGTGACTCATACCTATAATCCTAGTTACTCAGGAAGCTGAGATCTGACGATCACGGTTCAAAGTCAGGCCTCAAAGTCAGGCCGAGAAGGAAAGTCCAAGAAACTCTTATCTCCAATTAACCAACAGAAAACCAGAAGTGGCACTGTGGCTCAAGTGGTAAAGTGCTCACTTTGAGCTGAAGAGCTTAGGGACAGACAGCGCCCAGACCCAGAGTTCAAGCCCCACAACCAAAGGGGGAAAAAAATGTGTGTGTGAGAGAGAGAGAGACAGACAGAGAGGCAGAGAGAGAGAGAGAGAGAGAGATTCTATCTAGGAAATAGTCTTAACAAATACAAGTAAATTAACTCCTTGTAGTCCATCAGACCATAATGGAATTAAGCTAAAACTCAACAGCAACAGATATTACAGAAAATATTCAATGCAAAATCTGACCAAGATATTTTTGAATAACAAATGAGTCACTGAAGAAACAGAGGGATAAATCAAAAAGTTTCTGGAATCTAATGAAAATACGCAAGAAACTTTGTGTTCAACAAAAAAAGGAAAATTTATAAGAATGTACATTAAAAAAAAAATCAAGAGGGCTATCACATAAACAGCCTAACAATATACCTCAAACTGGAAGAAAAACAGGAACAAGCAAAACCCAAAATCAGCAAACAGAAAGAAATAATAAAGATTAGGATCAACATTACTGAAATGGAAACCAAAGAAAACTAACTATATAATCAAACAAAAAGGTGGTTCTCAAAATAAAAAAAAAAAGGGGGTGGGGGGAGAAGGTTGGTTCTTAGAAAAAATAAGAGTAATAGACACCTAACTAATTTGACCAAAAGAAGTAGGGTCCCAGGTCTCAAATCAACAAAACGAGAGATGACAAGGGGAATCTGATAAGGAGTACTATAAGGAAATATACTGAAAATAAGGAAATACATTGAAAAACCTGTACTCAACTGGATGATCTGGAAGAGATGGATAAAATTCTAGATACAGTTGGTTGACCAAAATTAAACCAAGATATAAACATTTAAAAAAGAAAAATCTACAACAGGGCTGGGAAGGTGGCTCAGTGGTAGAGCGCTTGCCTTGCATGCATGAGGCCCTGGGTTCGATCCTCAGCACCACATAAGCAAAAAGAAAAAAGCCGGAAGTGGTGCTGTGGCTCAAGTGGTAGAGTGCTAGCCTTGAGCTGAAGAGCTGAGGGACGGCGCCCAGGCCCAGAGTTCAGGCCCCACGACCAGACCCAAAAAACAAACAAACAAACAAATCTACAACAGAGCTGGGAAGGTGGCTCAGTGGTAGAGTGCTTGCCTTGCATGCATGAGGCCCTAGGTTTGATTCTTCAGCACCACAGAAGCAGAAAAGCCAGAAGTGGTTCTG